GCACTTGCGCATTCAACAATTTAATTAAAATGAAATTTTCGAATCACAGGAGGGAACGAAATGCAACTGCAACGCTGCAGATCTGCCCAGATTGCCAGATGATGATGAGCGGGGAGCAGGGTTTTTAAGCGAAGCAAGCGGCCAAAGTCAAAGCCGAAGGTAAAAGCCATGCCTAGCCGCACTTCGCCCCCCTCCCCTCTCCACGCTCCTCGCTCCCCGCTCCCGGCTCCGCCTTGTTGGCTGACGATGATCAATGATTGCAGCGCCGACGCCGACACGTGATCAAGATCACAGCTGCACAAGTAGGGGGCAATGTAGATGAACGACAGAGGCGTCGTGAGGGGGGGGGGGGGGGGGGGTGGTATTGGGGGTTAGCAGTACTATAAGCGGCATGTAATGCGCCATGCATTACGCGTATCTGGCGTTGTCATCGTGTCAGTTGCCTCGCATATTATTAATTGGCTGCCCATAGAAACGGGCCAGGACGAGGGGCTAAAGCAGAGGCGGTGACGGAGACGGAGACGGAGACGGAGGCTGAGGCGGAGGCTGGGCAATGAGGAGCTGCAAGTTGGACTTCGACTTGGATCTGGATCTGGATGTGGATTCATAAATGCGCTAGAATTTATGTGTTAATTTGTCGCGCCGCCAAGTGTCTGTTGATTTATTTGGTGTGCCAGCTTTTGATACCCTGCCGGCGACAGAGTATTACAAACTTATCACGAAATGTGTAGCGTATATATATATTCCTCTAGCTCTCTCTATCTCTTCCACTATAGCTATATGCTATTATCTACCTGAGAAGGTTTTATGAAGGCAAAACTCGAATGAAATGATTTTTTATTGCAATCTTAGGAATTGTTCGGATCGGTTAACTATATAACATATATCATAAAGCGCTTTAATCTGCGCGCGACTTTCGTTTGAACATCCGTGACTATATATATCTTATATCATATATTATTATATATCATATACACATAATATCATTCAGCTTTCACAGAAACAATCAGCCAAATGCGAATGTACATTTTTCAGTTCGAGTTCAATCGTGGCCTTATCTGTGCAAGAGTATTTGCTATGTCAGAAGCTTTTAGTTAGCTGTTTTTTTTTCTTTGTTGTTTTTGTTTTTTATCCTAGCTGTAATTATTTTCGAGGGCAACCTGCGCAACTTGCAGCAATTTGTTGCAGCATTGAGCCAGTTGCGTCGGACATAAACATTTCTTTTGTGCGCCGCAATTTGTATTGTTCGCATAATTAAATTGACGCTTGGCATTCCAATGCCCACAGAGCACAGAGTCGGCCCGCCAATTCCCTCCCCTCGCCCAATCATGCCATTGTAGCCCTGGTCTGACAGTGACACGCGCAGTTGCCAGTTGGAGTCGACGAGGGCCTGGCTGGCTGCCCAGTTGCCCGGTATAATTAGCAACGATTAAACACTTGTCGTCCCACCCAACGGTGCAGCGGAACAAAAGCATTTTGCCGACTCCAACAATGACAACGCGGCCCTTTGGCGCGTCTATTTAGCTATTTTATGGGGCCTAACTATCCACTCAGAAAAATTAAGTCCATTCGTGAACATTTTACGTTAAGAGCGAGTAAAAATCAAATTCGTCGACTGAGTTTCTATTTGCTTGAAATAAGCGTAAATGCAATTGGAAAAGTGTAAGCTTGTTCTGCCTGGGCATGCTCGACCAACAGTTGCCCTGTGTCTACTTCGTAGATATATTTGAAATCGAGTTGTTCACGTTCTGCCAGATTCTAAAATACCCTAGATGTCCTAATGCCTGAGTTCACAGAAATGAACGTTGAGTTATTAAAAAACACGATTTGGTTTTTTTTGCTGCCCAATTTCCATGGAAGATTACAGAAAAATGTCTCCTAAATTCAACTAGTTTTGCAGAATCTGAAGAGATCTTCACAAATAAATTTGGATATCATCGGCACGTCGATTACAATACTCTTGCAGACATGTTCGCATAGTAAAGCATGCAAATGTTATGTAAGAATCGACTTTGTGATATGGTGATCCGAACTGTCCGGCTCCGGTATTCGATCGGAAGACGGACTTGTGCAGGGTCTCAAGACTCAAGACTTCAAGTCTGCGAAACTGGCAAACAGCGTAATAGGCAGACGGACAATTAACTATATCAACTCGGCTATTGATCGAGTACATATATACCTTTTGGGGTCGAGAGATTTCGCCTTTCAATTAAATAAAAAGACATTATGTAGATGAAATATTCACGTTACCCGGCGGCTGTAGGGTATTTAACAGGTTAAAATATACTTGAAAATGTTTAAAGTTCAAATTGAGGTCGATTTTTTGTGGAGAAAAAAAAAAACCGACTACAACTGCCTGGCAGGTTTTATGTGTGCCCATAAATCTCTTTTAAAATGAACTTAAATCGATTTTAATGTTCAAAAATTTGTGGATAATTTTGCATGAAAAGAATGGTTGGGAATATTGAGGACCTACTTCTTGATACTTTTCGATCTTGGACATTTGGTGCTTTAATGAACTGAGCATAATTATATCAGCTTATCAGAAAGTTAAAAGCAGGTGCTAGACATTGCCGGCTGGGGCTTTACCTAAATCTAGTATGTGCTTCATTATTGAATTAACCCTCTTTTCGCTGAGTGTAGTGCATTTTGTGGCTTGCATTCGGCCTGTGGCCTTTGGCAGCGAGGCGGAATTTGTCAAGCGCAAGGACACATAACTGACTGCAATTAGGTGTCCATTGGATGCTGCCTACTGTCTGCCCCTGCCCCCGCGTCAGTCACTGCCTCGTCTGCTGCTGCTTCTTCTTGCTCTTCCTTTGCCAAGGAGTTGCCATGTTGCCATGGCAATGGCAATTGTTGTCAGGCTTGTTTGATTAGCGTGTAATTGGCCTGTCACTGGGCCAGGTCGCGGCGAGCCTGCCCTGCCATCCCCTCTGCCTTCCTCATATGTGTTTCCCTGCCCCGAACCGCGGCCTCTCTCGCTGCCCGTAAATACTCAATTATAAATTTATTGATTTTAATGAACGTTATCAATTTTCAATATTTAAAAAAGTCGAACATATCAAGTGCTAGTCTACAGCCTCGGCGTAATGCAAAACTCTTCAATAATATATCAATCACGCCTCTCAAGATGCTATCGGCCTCAGCATCATCATTATCATTACAACGATCATTATCATTATCATCATTATCAAGTCACAAGGTCGCCTTCACAATCATACACCGAGGAACACTCAGCAGCACACTCGACTGAAAGCTCGTCTCGGGTGTCGGGCTTATGGATGTCGCCCATGCACATGATGCAGTATTTCCAAGCTTTAGATCAAAGAGGAACTATGGCTGCAAATAGAGAAATGGAGATAGAGAAATGGAGATATAGGTAGAGAGAGGGAGAGAAAGTGAAGAAGAGAGAGAAAGGTATTTAGAGGCAATTTAGATGGTTTATTCGCCTCAAAATCGATTCTGAGAAGCATTCGACTAGTGGAATGCCTCTACTTTAAATAACATTTTCCTCAACTTTGCCCATTTAAAACCGATTTGGAAGATTGACAACATTTCGATGATTGGTTTCGCTATTTTGATGCGCTAGAAATTTCATAAAGATCGGACTTCAAGCACCGATGCGATTCAAAAAGTCCTCTTATCGAGCTCAATCGACTTGCGTCACATTCGGAGATTTGATAATGCCTAAATTTCGTTCTTGCCTCTATATGTGCAGTATATAGAATTATAGCTAGCCTATCTAGCGCTGCCTCTCGCTCTATTGCCGTGCCGCTCGCTCAATCAATATGTAAAAATCCTTGCGTCAAGCCAAATGTCAATTGAAAGCTGTGCAAACAGCAAGCGAGCGAGCGAGCGCGCGTGCGACAAGCCAAGGCCCAGGCTGAGGGGAATTTGAAGGATATGCAAACAAATGTATAAATATTTAAAAGGAAGCGCAACACGAACCGACGAGGGAGGGAGGGAGGTAGGACACAGAACACAGGACACACACGCGCCAGGCAGCGCAGAGACAGAGAAAAAATAAGAAAAAATAGACAAGCTGCAAAATATGAAGAGAGATCCGTTAAGTCGAGCCTCAGACGAGGCAAGGACATAGCCCGGGACAGGGACAGGGGCAGGGGCAGGAAGACGATGGCAAATGTGGAAACGCGTGCGCCAGGTCCCAGTTGCAATCTCAAGTGATAAGAGAGCCCGGGTAAAAGGACTGCGCGACACCAAGAAAATATTAATTTACACGATTTGCTGTTGTCGTCCTTGTTGTTGTTGTTGTTGTTGTTGCCAGCAATATCAGCTGCCCCAGGGCATTAAAGGGCTGCCCGGATTGTGTGGCAGAGTCAGGGTCGGGGTCGGGGGGCAGGGTAAAGAGTTCCTGGGCCAACAACAATCAAGGTGCATCTGCAGCTAAGGCACGTCCTCGTCCTGTGCCAGGCAAATATGAGACTCACAAGCAACACATTTGCTAACCCCATCGCACACACACCTCACACACCTCGCACACACACACACGCACATGGGCACACACCTTGCCTCGTGGAATCAAGAACGAAATCAAAGACAACCAAAAATGCAGTTGACAAGCGACGCCCCCGACATGTGCAACGTTGCAGCTTGGATCATTGCTGATTATTATTATGATGATGGTTATGCCACAGGCACGGATACACACACACACACACACACATACTTACACATGCACACTCAGTCGGCGGCAACATGTTGCCGGCAACATTGTTGTCAGAGGCATAAAATTGCCAGAAGAGCTTCTGTTAAATAGGCCACAAACCCAAGCAATGGCAGGCTGCATAGGGAATGCACTGTAGCAAAAAGGAACTGTCACGACGAATATTTAATACCCTTACGAGATAATACAGAGCAGTAAAAGCGACTTTCTTAGCAGACGGACTTGAAGTTGTGTTTGAAGAATAAAAAGCGACAAGATAACTGAGCGTGGTAGGGATATCTTGAGAAACAGATCAAATTGTGCATACGAAGACTTCAAAGCGATTCTTACGATACAACTATATGATACAGCAGTCCTTTATTGATGGGATTTTTTTCATATATAAGGACCTTGTTTAAACAAATAATTTCCATGTTTTGCAAATATTTAATGAGTTACAATAGGATTTAACATAGTTAACAGAGAGTAAACATTAGCTTCATCATCTTTTTCTGTGGCTTATAATTCCCAAGTGGTTATAGCTTTGGCCTAGGGACAAAGTCTTTCAAATCCAGAGTCTGTAGCCAATTTTATTGATGTTGTACCTTCCTGCTTCCTTCATGTCTTGATGTCTTGATGTTTGTAAAACGCCAAGTCCATGACAACTATATCATATAGTGATTAGATCCAGCGAACTCCGAAGCCAACTATAATAGGAGCTGATGAAAAGCTTTGCATATAAACTGCTTATCTTCAAGGGTCTTGCTATATTTTGAAGTGAAGATATAGAGAATATGTAAAAATTGTATGACTACTACTCCCGATATTTAGATGCATGTATATAATACATCTATCTCATAGCAGCTACAGCAGAAGATATATCTCGCTTGTATTTACCTCCTAGTATTGGTTTGATAAAAGATCAGATCAGCATAGGAGCTGAACAGAAGAAGACCAAGACATCAGTTGCATCTCGAAAGATCTGGACGATCTAAGGGACAATTGCATTAGGGAGGAACACAATCAAAACAGAAACTAGATGAAATAATTCTCCGTTTGGTTTCCTTACTGCGCGGCGGGTATTACATGCTGCTTACAGGTTTTGGCTATTATGAGTTAAGATCTGGCCGCAAGGAACACAACATTATCATGATCTTGCACGAATGTCATAATTGTGAGCTACTGTGTGTTGTGTTGTGTTGTGTTGGTGGCGGGCCAAATGGGATTTGTATTACGACAGCCGCAAATTATGCAAAATGTTCTTAAAGATTTGCCGCTTAGATTAAGAGCAGGAGCGAGACACGAGCGAGCGAGCGAGCGAGAGTGAGAGAGTCCTGCAGATCCTGTGGCTTAGCCGCAACTAAATGCGGCTTAAGAGCCTTGTTAGGCGTGAGATTTGTGTGTGTGCTGCTGCTGCTGCGGCTGCGGCTGCTGCTGTCGGCAAAATTTCAAATACAATTCCTATTATGCTGGAGAAATTTTTCCAGGGAAATGGGAAAAACACGCAACACGCACACACAATGAGTTGGCTTTGGGCGGCTGCTGTGGCGGCTTCTGCCCAGGATATGTTAGGATTTGTTGACATGCAAAATAAGAGCGTGTGTGCTATGTGTGTGTGCGTGTGTGTGTGTGTGTGTGTGTGTAACCTGAGCCGTCGACACGAGTCGCAGAAGGCGATAAACATCAGCTTGCAGCAAAAGTCAGAATTATTTGTGGCCCAAGAGCCCAGGCAGGCCCCAAGGCGAAAATCTGAATGCTGCCAACTGAAATCCGATGCACACATACATTTATATATATATATATATTATATAAATATATGCATGAAATCCATCTCTCTGGCATGTCTGGCAGCTATATATAATAATGCTTGGAACGCCGCCTGCAGTTAGTTGTAGTTACGTTCTGGGGCCGGCTGCCAAAATAATTAAGTCGTTTCGCCAACAATTAAATAATTCTGAATACTTTTTCGCTTAAAGAACTTTTGCTCGGAATTCATCTGCAACTGCTGCTGCTGCTGCTGCCTGATGTGGCTTATTCCAGTGGCTCGCAATTTGTTTAATTGCAGTTGTTGCTGCGAGCGACAGTTTAACATACGAGACGACGCCTCAAACACACACAGCGTGAGAAAAGCACCAAATACTGTCCCAAAGTCCAAGCTGAACGAACATTCATCATGCGACACGGTCGCACAGTGGTGCATTAATGTTATAGATCTATATGGCAATACGCAAAGTTATGATATCACGTGAAGGCTTGTCACAATCATCGTGGTGCACACAAGTTTTCCCACCTATTTTCTCACGTATTCTGGTGGATTTGTGAAATCGTTTTCGCCAACTTATAATGAAAACTATCTGAACATTATGAATACACAAATTAACCAAGATGTTCTCAAAATTATGCCCATATCCGATTGGTTGGTAAAATAAATAATTGTTTTTCCACCAATTTTCCAGCATTATGGATGGAATTCTTTGATTTCTCTCTCTAATCTTGCTCATACTTGCCGCTCACGCTCCCATTCCTGCAAAACAATTGCATTTAGCTAAACTCTTACATAATCTTTAACTAACTTTGACCGCAACTTGCGCCACGGTGCTGGCGGCAGGCGCTGGACACCTTGGCCCGACTTTCACTGCCGCCAGTCGCAGTCCGTCTGCGTCTGCGTCTGTCGCGCTCGGTTGATGGCGTTGGCAGCCAGGGACTACTGTGCAACGCCCACTTTTTGGGCGCGCGCATAATTACAATTGTATTTTATTTTTATTTTTGTTGTATTTTGTATTTCCTGCTGCGGCTCTGCACGCATGCGAATTCCAGGAGCTGTCGCAGGCTCACGCCAGGGTTCAATTTATGTACGTATACACATGCATATATATGTGCCCGAAATATTCGATATAAATTAGTTGAAAATTAAAGAAAAACAAAATTAAAGCACAGACATTGGCACCAAGGCAAAACCATGCAAAAACTATTCCAATATCCGAGGTTAAATTGGCAAAATAAAAATAAATAGGAGCCGCAAAAGGAGTTGCCAGCCGAGTTAAAAATGCATTGCCAGATCTGCAGACTGGAACAATTTATAACTAGATAATCAACCTTGTCCAGCTACTTGTTGTTAAATCAAAAAAATAATAGTCAGCATCTTCGATAATTATTGAATTAAAAAATCAAAGGAAACGTCAAGGCATTTTTTGGTAAAGGAGTTGCCAGATCTGACATTTTGTTGCCATATACCGCAAAGGCATGCAGCCTCCCAACTAATCGTTGAATCGAACATTGGCAAAAACAAATTTAAATAGTCTTTTGCAATGGAGAAAAAACTGTTTGATAGAGCTGCCAGCTCTAAAAACCGGCGCGATATATTGCCAATTAATGCAACATCCCGATTAATTTTTAAAAAAAAAAGCTGTCAAAAACGTTGCCAGCTGAAATGAGAAAAACGCGTGGCATTGTCAAATCTGATAATAAAGAAAAAAGTAAACGAAAAATAAAAAAACCCATTATTTAAATATAACAAAATAAAATAAAACACAAAAATTGTTTAAATAAAAAAAGTATGCAAAAATAATAAATTAAAATAAACAAAAAATAAATAAAAAATAAAACAGAAATAAAAAGAATATGAGAACTAGACTCAACTAGACTCAAACAAAAAATGAAGAGAAAGCCTTTGAGCATTGCCTTTTATAGCCAAAAAACTGAAAGCCAAGGCAAAGCCTACTGCAATTGAATAACATTTGCACAGCCCGGAATTATATGGAGTGTGTGACGTCACAAATACGACTGATGCGATAGATACATACATACACATATATATAGCACGCGCTTGATATGAAGTGTCCTGTCCATAGTTGATTAGGTAGCACAATTGTCACATGTGCGTTTCTCGTTTTGGCCCTTGTTGTGTGCGTGTGTGTGTGTGTGCATGTGTGTGTGTGTGTTGTTTTTGGGCGCGTCTTTTGTTGATTTGACCATTGTCCAAGGCACTTGAGAAGCAGCCGGCAGCCGGCAGCCGTCCCATACTCATGTGCGTCTGTGGGCGTTGTTTGCGGGGCGGACACCGAGCAAATCGTCTTAACTCTCTGCTAGTTTGTCAAATGCAATTAAGTTGCCCTTTGTCTTGGAGGCGTGCAAAGCGTTTTGTGCAGTGTGCCAGTGGTTGCTTGGCTTGTGGCTGTGGTTATCTTTTAATCTGACCCGCGCCCACTGCGCTCTAGTTTGCAACCGAAATTGAGCCAATTTAGGGCCAAGAATGTCACTCATTGTCCGCCGTTGCGACGTTTGACAACATTATCTTTGTTAGCATCTAACGAATCGGCTGTCTGTGTATGTGCACAAATCTTCAAAATCTGCTGATCTAGTTTCTGACTTTGTCCAGCAAGCATGTGTTAATCAAAAGCCGCTTCGCTTTGCCACAATGTGTCAAAGATCGGTTTAGCTGTGCTGCCGCACAAGTTAATCGCCAGCTAAATAAAACGTATTGTGCGACAGCATCATTGACAATTGGGTCAAGTGGTGCATATATATTCCCTTGGACGGATGACAACACCCCCGAACAAGCAACAATCTCTCTTAGAGAAAAAGGTCGAACTTTTTGCGGATTTTTGAATTTGATTTGATTTTCAGCTCCTACCAACTAACAGGGTATTTGCCCATTAGAACATTACACTTTTTTTTTTGCCAAAAAGTATTCAAGTTTGTCGTCTAAGTCATTTCATTAGCGCATCAAGTTCGTTGCCCAAGTCATTTGTTTGTTTTTTTCTGCACAAGTTTGTTGCCCAAGTCATTTGTGCAGCTGCCAAAGTTCGTTGTCTAAGTCATTTGCTTCTGCTAAGCAAGTTTGGTGCCTCAGTCATTCGTTAAGCAGGTAAAGTTCGTTGCCAAAGTCATTTGATTTCGCTAGACAAGTTTGTTGCCAAAGTCATTTGAGTTCGCTAGGCAAGTTTGTTGCCTAAGTCATTTGATTTTTTTGCTGCGTTTATTTTGCATTTATCATGCACAATAGCCTCTGCTCCTGTTTACACCCCGCCCCCTCCCATAGCCCAGCTCTTCCCTTCGTCTGCAGCTCCGTTGCGCTCTCCTCAGAGATGCTCTACATCAAATCAATCAAACTGATGCGCTTTGATCGACAGATCAACGACATATAACGAATGCACCCGAAACGGCATTAAAATATTTAACTAACAAAGCAGCAGCAGCAGCAACAGTAGCTGCAGCAGCAGGTGAGGGGCAGTGGAAGGTGGAAGGATTATGTTGAAGGGGAGCTCGTCTGCAGTTCGCGATTTTAACATAAAAGCAATCATAATGCCCACACAGTGCTGACAAAAAGTTGTCAATTAGGTTCATCAAAGAGCATCCATGATGATAGCCTGCAAAATTTCCCCCTCCCCCTCCCTCTGTGCTCCCTCCCCCGACTGCTGACTGTCTGTCGCAGTATATGTTAATGTGGGGCCGCCCGTGTAGTCAAATGGAGATGCTGCAGCCAAAGCAGCCGATCTCTCTCCCATATGCTCTGCTATGCTGATGTGCGCATCATAATGATCATGATGCTTCATGATCTTGGCCGAGATCTTCGAGCTCTTCGCTAGTGGCTTTAACCACCCAGGCAGCGCATTTATTATGATTGCATTTTGGGCAAATGTTTGTTGCTGCTGCTGCTGATGCTGCTGCTGCCCCGCTGCTTAGTTAAATGAGACATCAACATTGGAATCGAGATCTCGCATTCTCGTGAATATATGTATATATATATTCGGTTCATTTGGCTTTGGCATTGAACCGGCTACCGGTTAGCGGTTTTAGTTGATGGCTTGCACTTGCCATTTGCTTGTTGTTGTTATTGTTAATAATGATGTCGAGTTGTTGTTTTTGCATGTAACACCATACCTGTCCCTCTCTCTCTCTCTCTCTCTCTGTCTCTTTTTGTCAGCCTTGTACCTTGTGTGTGAGAAAGCGGTTCGTTTTGCAGACTTTTGCAAGTCGTTTAATGTCTTCATTACGCTGCTCCCCAAGACTCAGCAGCAGCAGCAACAGGAGTAGCAAAAGCTGAGACCCTCAGCCTACGCCTGGGCAACGTTGTCATCATCGTGGTAGTCGTTGTTGTTGTTGTTGCTGCTGCTCTTATATTGTTTATTTATGAATGTCATTCAATTTATTATATCATTGTATATTTGACTTGAGAGGGAAATGAACGCATTTGTTGCTGCCTTCGTGGCCCGACACAAAGGGCGCTGACCAGACCAGACCAGACCAGACCAGACCAGACGGACCCACAGGCCCAACAGATTCAACAGATCCCCAACACACTAACGGGCTCTTGTAGGAGTCGTCGTTAGCGTCGCTCATCATCTTCGTCGCAATCTTGGACTTGGACTTGGCCGATGTTGTCGTCGTCGTCGTCATCATCTCTGCAGCATTTGCATCATTGCAAGCGCTGAGCTGATCATCAGCGTGTGCCCTAACCAAAAGAGTCCACTCGAAATTCCATGCATTTTGCTCTGAATAAAACTATTTTTGCTTGAAGTTAGTTCTGCTGCCTGCCAATTAGGCGAAGAGGAAGCAGGCTTAAAAAGACCCAGCCCATAGATCTGGCCAAACGACGCCTTTAATAAATGTAAATGAATATTTAAAGTAAACTTTCCTTAACCAAAGCTACTTTTTCTATGAAAAGGAAAAAAAATGTCCTCGTAAGTAAGATGTTCCCTATCTCAAAATAGTTGTCCTCAATCTTGAGCTGGTAACAAAAATGTATTCAAATATTTGTTATACCATATCTTAAGAACTCATGCTCTGAGATGTAATCCTCCACAGATAGAATATATTTTGTGGTATAAAGATCTGCTCAGGTACAGTTCTTCCTTTTCTGTAGAGCATCCAAAGTTCGTTTATATTCAATTTCGCCTTCTCGGTCGGTCAGTCGTTCGTTTGTGGCAATGTTCTGATCGCGAGCACTGCTCGATTATTGTATATCATCATGCTACAGCCGTATACATGCCCCGACCCCCCTCCCCCTCGCCCCCTCCCCCTTCACCCCACCGCTTTCCCTACAGCTACTTGTGCTTCTTCTGCTTGGTTGCGGGGCGCTTAACAAGTTGCCAATGCTTATGAGTTGTGTGCGTGCCTCCCTTTGACTTCATCTCTCGCTCGCACACTTGCCCTGTCTCTGTCCGCCCCCCTCCCGCCACCGCCCCCCGGGCATATGCATTGCATAAGATAATTGGTGATTTTCATATCGATTTATGCATCCGCCTCGTCGCTGGCTTGAGCTAGACTCCAGCTCGAGTTGCGGCCTGTGCTCTGAGGCTCTGAGGCTTAGGGTTTTGTCAAAGTCCGATCAAAGACTGATAAATGTCGCGACGTATTAGAGAGCGTTTAGGGCACAGCGGGACGGCGATTGCGATTACGATCGTGGTTTCGTTAAAAGACAATAATTAAATCATAAATTTCGGGGCGTACACACGACAATTTATTGCTCTATTTGGGTTGAAAGTGTCCCGCGCCAATCAAATCACAATAAAAATACTCACACGCCCACCAAATGAGAGATCGTGGGCGCTGATATCGTTGCTAGAAATATTTTGTAAAAACATTTATTAAACATAACGCATAGCGCACGCTGTGACAGCGCCAAGGATAGCGTTCCACACTTGCTGCTTTCTTCTTTCTGTTTTTACTCTGGATCGAAAGGGTTTTTGTTTGTTTTTTTCTGCGGTTTTCCTGGAAGGCCTGCTCGAGCCAACTTGGCTTGTTAATGGCATTTGGGTGCGGCAGCCTCATAATCAGCGCAATTATATTGCATTTTCCAAAATTTTCAAATTCCAAGAGCTGGCCGCATTGCTCGGCCAACAAGTGGCCTTTGTAGACTGCCGACAGTACGTGACCGGCAAGGACGAGGACGAGGAGGAGAAGGCGGCAAAGGCGGAGAAGGTGGCGGCAGCGAGTCGCCAGTGACCAGTCGCGAGTCCTTATCCTTGTTATCCTGACTGCAACCGCAAATGTGCTAACGAATCTTGCAGCCACGACCTGCCCCGACACAAACATTGACCAATTAACGCGAACTCAAACTCGCAACTAAAACTCGAGACTGAAAACAAAAACTGGGCAACAGGCGTTAAACGTTCTCGCACCTCCGTCGATGACTCGACCAAAATTCCCTCCACTTGTAAAACGTTAGCGAGCCGCGCCTGTGTAAATAGCTGCAGTTCAGTTTGATGCAACTGCTTCCTGACATTTGACTAGCTGCACGCGCTTACAATTCCCAACTGGTTAAGGTTGCGAAAATGTGGCAAGTTGTATTTGCACGCCTCGAGCCAGCATAATACGAGATTTATAAACTAATCAGAACTAACATAAGAAAACATATCTCAGAGCTACTAAGATCCTGTTGGCCATCGAATTGAGCTGTGTGAAATCAACTTTAGATATATTTGTAGAAGTTTTCTATGACAGAACGTAAAGTTCTTACATGCAATTGCCTTCATTATGCAAATCTATGCAC